GCCAGAAGTCTATTTTCCGGTGCTGGAATTTCTGACTTAGATCGTTGAATCCTGGTGGAACAGACGTCCGTAGAACTACAAGCACAGAGTAGGGACGAAATTTCTGTTTCAAGGACATTGCAGTACGCAAGCCTCGATCTTCAAGTTGTCTGTTTTATAATTCATATTCTAGTTTATATTCTGTTAGTTTCTATTGCATTTATTATTTATTAGCATATATAAATTATCACAGATTTTTTACTTAAATCCAACACTGAGCACAACCTCAAGATTCTCCTGACCAGCCTACGTGAGTCGTTGGATTTTGATCCAACGACTACAAATAAGGGATCCCTTTAAAAGTTATAATAATTGTAGTTGTTGGATCAAAATCCAACAGCTCACGTGGGCTGGTCAGCAGGATCTTGAGCTTGTGCTCAGGAAAGGATCCAATTCCGTATTGTAGGATTATCTATATATGTATATACCAAAATACCCCTCTATACTTTTTTTTTCCTTTTGAACAAACGGTATTATCTACACTTAGAAGGTGAGGAAATAGGTTAAACCTCACAATAAACTAGTAATAATATGTTCAAATTCGCTTAAAATACCCCTCTATACTTTGAATGTTGAAATGAAAATTGTGAATTAAAAATTGTGAAAAATAAAAGATGTCCACGTAGTGCGCAGTTTTTATTGTTGATTTCTTTGAATCTTTAAAATAACTATAAAATCAATGTTTTAAATAAATGTTACTTTAGAAAATTAGCATCCAAAATTAGTAGACCATGAACATGATGTAGACATTTAACCACTAATTGAAACAATCACAAGATTAGTGCATTGTCTTTATAATAATAATATAGTTTTTTACCATTAAAGATCAATGTATACGCTTTTTCCGCGCCAATTACTTCTTTGATTATGTAGTTTTTGTCTCAATATTGAAAGAGACTCAAAAGTCGAATCTTAATGACCAGTAAATTATAATGTTAAAACATATTTCTAGGAACTTGTGTGAAATCAACCATAAACGATTTGGTTCACATGAAGAAAAGTTTTGTTACTTGTGTGGTAGGAAGGAAGTAAAAGTTTATGGTGGTTTGCAGTATTTGATAATTTCAACTTTTAACCATTAGTTCTTTAGTCAAAAGCACATAAATAAATATAGGTTAATAAAATTTTGCACTCTCAAGTTTAGGTGCAATTGCAAACTCACATAGAAAATTACGATTTCGTTGCAACATCATACATCCATCTCAATTTCTATTAGTTTCTCCATTATCTGCATGTTGAAGCAATAACAGAAAATATGAGAATAATACAAGGATTCTAGTGACAATAATCATAAAGAAAATAACAATATCAATTGTGTGCAAGATTAATAAAAAAACAACTAGAGAAAGTAAGAAATACTGACAAACTTGGAGATTGAGGCTTGCATAAATGCAATACCCTAAAGACAGAATTCCACCCATACTCTTGTTCTTGTAGTTTGGTAGCTAGGCGTCCGTCTCTCAAGATTGAACAATCTATAATCCGAGCTCAAAGCATTGCAATCTTCGGACTATAGCGAACTTTGTATGTTTTGTACTCTTAAGGCACAACTCAGATATGATACAGAAAAACACAGAGTGGAGTGTGCTTGAGTTTATATAAAACTCATGGCACCCTTTGACAAATTATGTGTCCATTGATTTTAAACCAGCTGATTTAAAATATAGGAGGAGAGGAGTGACTTTCGAATTGTGGTTGGTGCCTCGACTTTGGAGTTGTCGATGGACTTTGATATTTCGAATTGGAGTAAATTGGGAATCTGGTAAGTGCTCGAGGGGTTGGCTTCCTTTTCTTTTTTGGATCGAACCCTAATCCAATCCTTAATTCATATGTTCATTTACGAGAAGATGAGGATCATGAAACCTGTCTATACAAGAGCAAAACAAGAGCAAGATGATGAATGATGAAAATGAAACCTCATGAATCCAATCCTTAATTGCCATATTTTGTTTCTTCAAATAATTGTATTTGTAATTGAATTTTCTGTTTTTTTCACATTTTTAAAGATTTAATTTGTTTTTGTTTGTATGGCACAAATGTGACATCTACGTCAGCAAACATATGGAACTTACATTTGCCATATCTTCACCTAACCATCAATTGAACAGATTGACAAACGGATGATATCGTTGTAACCAAAACACAATTTTGTATAGGAGATTGTAATTTTTTTTAAAGATTTTGTATGAGGTTACAGCCACACTCGAATTTAAGAATGCAAACTATAGTTCACCAATAAACATCTAACGATTAAAAAGTTCATAACATCTTATATTATGTAGCATCCTAGAATTTTTAGAAAAAATCGAGCTTAAAAAATCAAAGATAGACTTGTGGACTTGAGCACACGACCATCATGTATTAGTTGAGCAAAACCATATTATCTCACTTTCTAGGCATAAAATACACATTGGCTGCTTTACTATTTAAGCTAAATTGACCAATATGGTTTAAGCCAAAGTTATGAGACCACATAATTAATCAACATTCTATCAGATAATTTTTTAATGGCTTTTTAACCAAAATGATTCCTAAGATTTGCATAACACATTATTTTGGTTCCTGAGATTGTCCACCATCCATTATTTTGGTCCTTCTGTTAAAAACTCCGTTAAGTATCTCAAAGCTCTTGACCAAAAGTTTGGACAATTTTTAAAACTTCGTAACTCAATCATTTCTAAACCAAATTCAACCCATAATATTTCGAAATGAAGATAGGAAAATGTAGAAGAAGATTATACCTATTTGGAATCTCAACGGTTGCCAGAGATAGCTGAAAAATAGCCTGAAAGGTGACTAGTCCGCAGGAAAACTGGGAAACTCGCTTGAAACTGGGTAAACTTTAAACGTTCATAACTTCTTCAATACTCAACGAAATTAAGTGATTCAAAAACAAAAATATTACTTCTTGACGAGAGGAAGAGAATCGTACCTTTCTTGATGGCTAACTTGCTATGGTTTGGCCAAAAAACGGTTCGAAAATGGCTAACTAGATGACCAAGATAGCCAATTTTGATCCGTTTTCTGGCCAAACCACGGTGAGTTATCCATTGAGAAAGGTACCATTCTTTTTGTCTCATCGAGAAGTATAATTTTTGTTTTTGAATCACTCGATTTCGTTGATTATTGAAGAAGTTATGAATGTTTAAAGTTTACCCAGTTTCCGGCGAGTTTTTCAGTTTTCCCGGAGACCAGTCACCTTTCAGGCTATTTTCTGGCTATCTCCAACAACCATTGAGCTTCCAAATAGGTATAATCTTGTTCTATATTTTCCTATCTTTATATTATGGGTCGAATTTGGTTAACAAACGATTGAGTTACGAAGCTTTGAAAATTGCTCAAACTTCCGGCCAAGAGTTTCAGGACACTTAACTGAGATTTTAACGGAATGACTAAAATAATAGATGATGAACAATCTCAGTGACCATTTCTATTGATTTTCAATCTCAGAGACCAAAGTCATATGTTATACAAATCTCAAAGCAGGACAGATGAAACACCAATTTGATATGAAAATGTAATCTCTTAGCATTTAGCGTTTAGCAATTTTTCGTTTTTAAATTAGCAATAAGATAGTTTTTGTCGGTGGAATCATTGACCACCATCTCTTTGGAAAGTGTCACTCAAAATTCATAAGCAAGAATTGACGTTATCTATGAATAGTCCCTCTGCTCCGTTACACAATACACTCGACTTTGAATATTAAGCACCTAGTAATTATTGAAAGCTTCAAGAATCCAGAGGGTTTCTGGTTTGGATGTGGCTTGCGCAATACAGCACTTCACCTGATGCAATGAACTTGTAACATATAATATTGGAACTGAAGCTTCTTTGCTTTCTCCTTCCTTTATATACTATAAACAGTAATTGAAGCACCAAAACCAGAACCTAGAGTAATACACAGCATTACGGATTAGTATTTTTTTTTTCTTCAAACAAACGGTATTATTTACACTAAGATGAGGAATGTGAGCTTAATCTCACAATAAACTAGCAATAATATGGTTCAAATTTGCATTTGACGAGAATCGAATCTAAAACCTCTTATTACCACTATACCTAATACTAAATTGCGGTATTATTTACTATTAAATCTAAAACCATTGGATAATAAAAAGACCTAAACTATTGGATAAAATAAAGACCTAAAACTATTGCGGAGAAGATGTGTTGGTTTGGATGTACTTTTAAAATAACTAAAAGTGCTTTTAAAAAAATGTTTTTGGATTCTAAAAGCATTTTAAGTGATTTCTATAAGAAGCACCATATATATGCTTCTTCCAAAAAACACTTTAAGTACTTTTTTAGGATTTACTAACATTTTCTCTAAGGACTGTTTCCAAAAATATTTTCACTAAAAGCATTTTCAATCATTTTAAAAGCATATCCAAACGAGATTGTATGTGTTTATGTAACTTGCTCTCAACCCACTTTGGGGTCCACACGACCTATTATTCGAGGGCCATTGTTGCTCTTTGGCCCACATATCTCCGCCTTATTCAATTATTACAGAAGAATATTATTAAACCGTAATACTAAATTGCAGTATGATTTCCTATTAGACCTAAAACTATTGGATAAAAAAAGACCTAAAACTATTTCGGAGAAGATGTATCTGTTTCTGTAACTTGCTATCAACCCGCTTTGGGGTCCACACGCCTGTTATTCGAGACATTTTTAAATATGATCGGAATATAAAGTGGTACATCACGTGTTATGATACAATTAGTAAGATATGTGTATTAAAAAGTTAGTAACTTAAAAAATAAAATTTTTCATCATATAAAAACAAATGGTGTACCACTCGTGTTTTAATTATATTAGCAAATTTCTTCATTATTCGAGGGCCACTGTTGCCTTTGGCCCACATATCCCCGCCTCATTCAACGTTCCAGATGAACCACCAAACTTTGCCCCACTTGTTCGGTGGCCCCCATCTTTGTGGTGGTTTCTTCTCATATGTTTCGGAAACCTTTCATAATGAAGTATTGACCAAAAGAACTCTGTTGGAGTCTTGAGATTGTGTCGGCACGATGTCGTTTCCAGGTCAACCTTTTCTTACTCCGCCGGAGAACCTCGTCCAGTCTACGAATGAGGATCCAGCAGCCCCGCTCCGGAATCTCTCGATGGTCCGAACAAGAATGGATTCGCTGCAAAGCTTCCTCACCGAATCAATCCACGCCAACGCTCTAATCAGCAAGGACCAGATGGACATGGTTTCCACTGGCATCGCTTCCGCCATCCACGAAATCATCTCAAACGGCGCCGCTCTGTTGGCTTTCGCTCAGAACTCGATACCCTCATCGGACCCGACCCGAACACACTCCGCTAAAATCGAGGCTTCCGAGGTCAAGAAAGAGATAGAAGTGAACGATTGTGGAAAGTATGACGCAGACGGCGGCGAGATTGTGGAGGTGGACGCGATGGAGCTGCTGGCGGAGCACATCCATTACTGCGAGATTTGCGGGAAGGGTTTCAAGCGAGATGCGAATGAGAATGCACGCGGCCCACGGGAACCGGAGCCCCCGAGGCGTTGACCAAACCGGTGAAGACCCCGCCGAGTTGAGCAGGAATCCCGTTCTCGTGCCCGTACGTCGGGCAACCGGAACAAGGCGCACGGGGGAGTTCCGGGCGTGAAGTCGGTGATTTGCGGTGAAGAATCATTCAAGAGGAGCCACTGCCCAAAAATGACTCGTGCAACCGGGGTGCAACAAAAGGAGCTTCTCGGTGGTGGCGGATTGTGAAGAGGCCACTTGAAGCACTGCGGCGAGGCTAGGTGGCGGGTGCACGTGCGCACGAGCTTTCGGGAAGAGCAAGCTGTTCGGCACATGGCGCTGTTCGAAGGGGGCGTTGCCGGACGGAGAAGAGTGGTGGTGGGAGTAGGTGTGACAGCTATGGACAGGATGAGGAGGAGGAGGAGGAGAGGGGAGGAGGAGGAGGAGGGGGCATGACGGGGAGGGAACAGGATGAGGGGAAGAGGAGTCGAGGGACCAGGAGGAACTGATGTAAGCGAGGATATGAATGGAGTGTTTTTAGTGCGAAGGTTTTGAGGGAGGTGATGGATGTTTTTGGTTTCATGATGGGTGGGCGAGATGATAGAATTGGAAGAAATGCCATTCTTGGTAAGTGAAGCATTGATGTTCAAAAGATGTCTAGGTTTATTTGAGAGGTTTGGTTATTATGGAATAATTTTTCTGATCAGAGATTTCACGTTTCTTTGTTGGCTTGAATTTCATAAAGAGAAAATTGGTCCAACAAGTTACAAGGTAATTTGCATGTGGTGTCCAGAGTCTAATTTGTATTTTGATGGCGAGTTTGGGTTATAATGGGGTTTCTATGGAAAAGGGATCATCAAAATAATTGTCCAAGACAACATAGATGGAGCAGCAATGAGAGTAAGTTCTTCATTGTTATAGTTTACAGGTCAAGTAAAGGACTCATGAAGGCCTAAGACTACGTAGAAATTTGAAGTAGTTTAACATAAGACAAAGAAATAAAGAAATACTAATTGAGTTTTAGGAAAAATGAGGTTTCGTTTAAATCCTTTGGAAAAAGCATTCCAAGACCAAGGAAAAATCATAATCCAAAAGTTTGATAATTTTCGGAGTAATTTCAAATTTTTGAATCGATAGTATTTATGTCGGATCATATGGAAATTAGCATTCCAATGTCAATTCAAAAGGTTTTGGGAATTAAAATTTTCGGAACATAATTCGTGTAACATCCCACATCGTCCAGGGAAGTGTATCATCTAAGCCTTATATGTATATTCGCATTTCTACCTAGCATGAGGCCTTTTGGGAGCTCATTGGTTTCGGGTTCCATCGGAACTCCGAAGTTAAGCGAGTTCGCATGAAAGCAATCCCAGAATGGGTGACCCACTGGGAAGTTTTCGTGTGAGTTCCCAGAAACAAAACCATGAGAGCGTGGTCGGGGCTTAAAGCGGACAATATCGTGCTACGGTGGAGTCAAGCCTGGGAAGTGGTTCCGCCCGAGCTGGGATGTGACAATTCGGATCTTCTACATTTTGCAATGTTTTAGAAATTTTCAATCTTTAATTTATCTACCATTCAATTTAATTTTTTTTTTGGTGATATTTGTAGGCTGTTACAAGTACATATGACATAAAATCATACTAGACAAGATAATTTGCGTGTGGTCCAATATCCTAGTAGATAATCATCACAACAACTCCTTCTAAATAGATTGAATAAATACAAATTTAGAGGGAACAAAAACTAACCTAATACAAAAAAAGAATGCATGAATTTTTTTTATAGTACTAAGTTTGAGAAATTTCGGATCTGAAAGTCAGAATTTTGAATTAGATATGTATATGCCAATTGTCATCCAAAATTTTGGAATTTTAAAATGTTTGGACTCAGAACGGAAATTTTCAATTTGAATTGCAATGTCATCCAACTTGCACCCCTAATCCATATTGAATAGCTTAATTTCATGTTCATATAAAACCAATGTCAAACCCTACGAATAATTACGACTAATGCAACTCCAATTGAGCTCAGTGGTCCTTCAAATTAATCTAAGTTCTCATTTGATCCGTGAGATTGAAAATTGATCAATCTTGTTCTTAAAATTAATTGTCACAAATTAAAGTGGTCCATATGTTAGAATTCCGTCAAGAAATATGTTAGTCCGCTGGGGTGGCACGTGAGTGGGATCCATTGCTTGACTAAGGCCCCGTTTGGAATTGAGGTGATTTTAAAAAAAGTCACTGTGAAAAAAAGCTGAGGGTCATTTTTGTGTTTGGTAAACTGAAAAAAAAGGGCTTATTTTGGAAGCTGTTATGAGAATAAGCTGAAAATCAAAGGAAAAGCTGAAGCTGCTATTTGCTGCTTTGAAAAAAAGCCAGTTTTTTCAAAGCACACGGAGCTATAGTGCTCCTTTAATGAAAAGACACACTATCATCCTGCTTTTTTTTTCCAAAAGCACTTTCACAAAAAAGTTTACCAAACACTCTACTGGCTTTATTTCACAGCCGCTTATTCTCACAGCACAGCCGCTTATTCTCACATCAGCTTTTTTTCAAAACACAGCAATACCAAACTAGCCCTAAACATAGTGCTAGTGTACCAATGTTCTAAAAAGCAGCTTAGGCAGGGACTAGGCGTTAGACGGTGTGTTGCCGTCACGACTATTTCTTAATTGGTCGGAAAATCAGGAAGCTTGTTAGGCTACTTCTTGACGGAGTTAGGCGGGAATAGACGGGACTAGGTGAGGGTTTTTAAGAAGCTATGCTTGAATCTGGAATTTTTCAGATGCAGACCGACGACTCATCGAAGAAGAAGATGGCTTGTATACACGGTATCGTTTTGCCAAAAGTTGTCAGTTGCTCCTTGAGTTTTTTATTCAATCTTTTCATTTTAAGAACTCACCATCTAGTTTGACCACAACAAAAGAGCCCACCATCTTCTTCTTCCTTTCTAACTTTTCGTTTCAATTTTTTTAATGATTAACTTTTCATTTTTATTATTATTTTTTCTCTTTTAAGACCCAACTGTCTCCCACCAATAATATCTATATTTTTTATTTTGTTTTGGTTATGTCTATACTACATATTAATAGCACACTTTAAGAAGTGAAAAAGAAAAACTTGGTTACGGGAACCAAAGGCTAGGCCAGCTACTTACTTTAGTATAGCTACACCTAAAAAAGTTTATTCCTACCACCTTTTCTTCCCCTCTCTCAATTTTGCCAATTCTCAGAATACTTATGTTAATGCACAAAATCAGCAAGACTTTGGAACAGCATAAAATATCAAGTTTGTGACTTTCGCTCAGTTGCTCCGGTCACCTAGTGTGGATAATATGTAAAGAGATAGAGATAGGGAAGCAAACACAAGATGTACATGATTCACCCTAAGTTTGTTCTGACGTTGACACGTTTCGTTCTGTGATTGGTCTCCTGGTTGAAGGGAAACACTTATGCTTCGGCAGGGGTGCCTCAGCATGAACCCCTCAGTGGGTCCTTGAAGGTATAAAGTTGATCGATGCTTGGTAGTTTCGGAATTGGTCAAGTATGATACAAATAATGCTCCCCCCAAGTTCTCGAGTGAGCAAAGTTTCTCGGTTGGGGACTTGTAAAAATCCAAGTCATTGAGTAACCACGAAACTTCTGAGTACCGAATTATAATTGCACATAGTAGGAGTCCCCCAAATCCTCTGAGCGAGGAGGATTACCGAAGGAGGTACCTTGATTTTTTTAGTCATCGAAGGAACAAAGACTCCAAATATTGTCTTGCCCTTTTAGTGCACATACTTCAGCCCAAATATACATATATTTTTATCAGGCCCAATTCCTTCTTGTTATGGTTTAATAGGTGAAGGTTTTTTGTTGGGGGTCCATTAGTTGTAGGTTCTTGGTTGTAAGTTCTTTGTTTGTAGGTTTTTTAGTTGTGGGTTCTTTGCCTTTATAGGTATATAGCTTGAGTGATCCAATGTGGAAGAAATCATATAAATAGGTTTTGCTTCCACAATCTTGCCCAAGGGTATGGAAGGCTTTGTTTAGTTTGGTAGCCACAAAGGTGTGAAGCTTTTGAGTTCAATTGGGGAAGGTCTATGAGTGAAGGGTTTTTGTGGTTGAAGCTTTTAAACCACATAAATATATTTTGCTTCCACACTCTTGATCAAGGGTGTGGAAGGCTTTTTGAGTTTTTGGTAGTTAGGCAAAGTGTGAAGCTTCCTCCTTTCAAGGGTGTGGGAAGCTTTACCCTTCAAAGTGTGGGAAGCTTTACCCTTCAAAGTGTAGGAAGCTTCCTCCCTTCAAGGTGTGGGAGTTTCCATACCCTCAAGGGTGTGGGAGCTTCCTCCCTTCAAGGGTGTGGGAAGCTCTACCCCTCAAAGTGTGGCAAGCTTCCTCCCTTCAAAGGTTTGGGAAGCTCTACCCTTCAAAGTTTGAGAAGCTTCATCTCTTCAAGGGTGTGGGAAGCTCTCTCCCCTCAAGGGTGTGGGAAGCTCTACCATTCAAAGTGTGGAAAGCCTCCTCCCTTCAAGGGTGTGGGAAGCTCTACCCTTCAAAGTGTGGTATGCCATAAATTGATATTGCTTCCACCCTCTTGAGCAAGAGTGTAGAAGACAATCTACATGTTGTAGTTGTATCTCACATATTGAAGCTTTTGTTGGCTTCCTCCACATGTCGAATTTAATTAATAACTAATTAACGGGGAGGTGCTTCCTTGAGCCTATGTGGATAAGTTTTTCTCGACACTGCCTCAAGAAGTCTCGAAAGTTATGATAAAAAGGCTCTTGATCCTTCCACTCATTTTGCAAGGAGGTGTTTCCCTCCACTTATCCTGCTTCGGGTCAAAACAGCTGGGTTGAGAGAAGTCTTACGTTGATCAACACATTGATGAGGAGGTCGCTCTTCATTAAGAGCATCTATATTAAAGACAGGTGACCCTCCGTGATAGGGGGTACCCATGTGATAGTTAACATCCACAAAAGCGATGGGCTTGTGAATTGAGTCTGCTTAGCCTCATGGAGCATCCCGAAGATCTTCTCATACTGTTCTTAGAGGATTTCATTCCTTATTACTATCTTGTTGTTCTGAGCCTCTAGCTCTTCGACCTTAGCTTGAA